TTATACCATTCTTGGCCTTCTCTTGCATATCATCAGCAGTTCCAACTTCACTTTCTCGGCAGACTACATCTCTGCTTCTGGTGACCTTCTTCTTTACAGGATCCCACAATCTGTATCTGAACTCTTCATCTCCATATCCGATGAATATGCAAGGAACAGATTTATCATCCAGCTTTGTTCTTTGCTCCTTTAGTACATGTGCAAAAGCTTTGCAACCGAACACCTTCACATGCGAGTAGGATACCTCCTTCTTCGTCCAAACTCTCTCTGGGATGTCAAACGCCAACGAAACTGATGGACTCTTATTGATCAGGTAACAGGTTGTCTGAACTGCTTCACTCCAGAATGACTTAGGTAGTTTAGCCATTTTGAGCATGCTTCTCACCTTCTCCACAATGGTGCGGTTTATCCTTTCGGCTACGCCATTGTGTTATGGAGTTCCAGGAACTGTCTTTTCATGTCTGATCCCATGGCTCGAATAGTACTCTTCAAATTCCCTTGAAGTGTACTCACCTCCATTGTCACTTCGGAGACGCTTTAGCTTTTGGCCTGTCTCCCTTTCTACTATAGCATGAAACTTCTGGAAAACTTGAAACACCTGATCTTTGATTTTCAAAATATAAACCCATAATTTTCGTGAAGCGTCATCAATAAAAGTAATAAAATATTTATTACCGCCCATCGATTCAATTTTTATTGGACCACAAACATCAGAATATACCAAATCAAGTATATTTAATTTTCTTTCAAACGATGTCTGAAATGAGACTCTATACTGCTTACCAAATAAACAGTAGTCACAGGGTTTTACCGTTGTACTTTTAGCATAAGAAATGAGTGATTTCTTGTCAAGAATCTGCAATCCCTTCTAGCTCATATGACTCATTCATTTGTGCCACAAATATGCAGAAATCTCATTTTGTACCGCGTTCAATTCACCTTGGTATATTTCTGCATTTGTCTTGTACAACGTGCCATGAGCAACTCCCTTTGCAATCACCAATGATCCCTTGATGATTCTCCACTTTTGATTTGCAAAATAGTTCTCGTATCCATCTCGGTCTAAAGCAATTCCCGAGATCAAGTTCATCTGCAAATCAGGTACATGTCGCATGTCCTTCAAAACCAATGTGCATCCGATATTTGTCTTGATACAAATGTCACCAATCCCCGCAATCTTTGAGTAACTTGTATTACTCATTCTCATAAGGCCGGAATCATCTGCTACATATCTGCAAAAAAGATCTCTTACCGGTGTGGAATGGTAAGATGTTTCTGTATCAACCACTCATTCTGACTCTGGACCTAATAAGTGCATGCATTCCTCTTCCTCTTTTATACAGAGGACAACATTATCATTGTTTTGCACCATGACGGCTATGTTGTCGTCATTCTTCTGGCCACTAGTTTCACCTTTGCCCTTCATTGGATTTGGGCAATCTCTTTTGAAGTGACCTGGTTGATCACAATTGTAGCAATTTCTAGCTCTTAATTTGGATCGGTTCTTAGACTTCCCACGAGCTCCGAATCTACCATAGTTGCTCGAACTCCTTTGATAACTCGTGCCTCTACCTTCTGTGATGAGAGCATGTCCTTGATTTTCAGGCTTCTTTCTCATCTTCTCATTGAGTAAAATAGCCGATGTAACATCTTTCAACTCAATGGTAGTCTTACCGTACAGGATGGTTATTGCCAGATTATCGTACGAAGATGGCAACGAGTTCAACAGCACGATGGCTTTATCTTCTTCCTCGATTTTCACTCCGAGATTGGCGAGCTGTGTGATTAGTCCGTTAAATACATTTAAATGAGACAAAAAAATGCGTACCTTCACCGTGTAGGGTGTATAGCTGCTTCTTCAGGTACAATTTCTTTGTTAGCGTTTTGGACATGTATAGGCTTTCCAACCTTGCCCAAATGCCACATGCAGTGTCTTCATCAATGATGTTATTTACCACATCATCTGATAAGTGCAACCTGATTGCACTAGCAGCCCTTTCATCCAAGTCAGCCCAATCCTCAGCTTTCATGGTATCAGCATTTTGCCATCAGCATCTAGTACTTTGTGTAATCCTTGTTGGATGAGCAGATCTCTCATCTTTCTTTGTCATGTTGAGAAATCTCTATCTCCGTTAAATTTTGCTACCTAGTACTTTACTCCGGATATTTTTATTTTTCACCGAGTATAGTACTACCGACAGTGAATAGTATTTCTGTGAACGAGCAGAACCTGTGCTCTGATACCAGTTGTTAGGAATAAACCCCCTACAAAAATAATATTCACAGTAATAAAAGCGGAATAATCACGTAGCACCGAGATACGGTAATTAGCAAAAAAATGAGTGACAACGACACCAATGGAAAACTCTTTGATAAGGGAAAAAACCACGGCCCCGAGACGAGCAACTGATATCACTATAGCAAGGAATTTTATACTTTGTAGGTCCGAGTAAAATACTCCAAAGACCACTACAACACTCAAAAGAAATAACCATCTTTTGATATTCTCACCTCACTACAATATCGGTCACTCTCTATTTTTCTCACAGACTATTTTCTTATACCTTGTATGTGAAACCTCACTCTTTCTTTCTCTTTTTGTTGGTGTATAGAAATGAGAGTTGAAACTCTCCTTTTAGAGGCGAAGCCTCACTCTCTAAAGCCTACTATATTTAATAATTTAAACACATTTTTTTTCTTTTTCTTCAATGTTAACAATTCAACAAAGTTGGCTACCAACCCAAAGAAATTCAATAAAGTTGGCTACCAACCCAAAGAAATTCAACAAAATTGACTACCAAACCAAAGAAATTTTTCTTAGACACATATCTATTACTTTGGCTATTGAATGAGATGGAACCCATCAAAAGAGGGCAACAAAGCAGATCATGAAATGTTCTAGACTTTTATACAGACTACTCAAAAACAGCATCTAGCAAGTCCATGAAATCATTAATGCTAATTTTAAATGACACATTTGATGTTTGTATATAAATAATCTCTTTATACATCAAAATTATATTTGAAGGATTTTCTGAAATGTCTTTAATTTTGCTTGCTTGCTTTTGAAGTTTGAAGTTGACGTTCTATTAGACCTTATCTCTAACTTTTCTTGGTGCAATAAAAAGTTCCAACAATGTATTCTTGTATTATAATAAATATAGAAAAAAAAAATTCCTGTCATGTGGCTGTTGCGTTTAGTGTACTCACAACATTAGAATTTCTAAGGGAAAAAATAGGATGAAATATAAAATTAATTAGTTGTCCGAAATTAATTACATATGCTAATTAAAAAGTATATAAAATATGTTTATAATGCGCGCGCGCACATATATANAAAAAATACAAAATAATATTAATTTAAAATAAAACATGCAACAATTAAAGCCGTCTAATTGGGGAAAGGTAAAGGAGAATCTCGAAAAATAAATACATATGCTAATCACCCAAGAGCAAAAGAAGAGAAAAGATAGCAAAGGACATCGTTGATACAATAGCTAGCTCTATCAATCTTTCTATGCACTATTATCGTAAAAGTAAAATAAAAATATGGCAAAACCTTGCCAGCAAATCAGCAATAGGTAAATATAATCCGGAATAGAAGAATAAATCAAACCGTTGAAATTACACATAAGGCCTTTCTTAAGAAGAAAAAGTCGCAACATCAAGGACAAATGAGTAAATTTACCAAGCACATCTATTAAATTATGGCCACGTGGGCTTTTGGTCAAATTGTTGAAAGCAATGCGTTCGTTTGAATGACGAAATTAGCCTTGGTTTACAGTACCTCTCATATTTTTTATACGAGTACTTTAATTTCCTTTTCTTGTCCTTTTTTTTTGTGAATTTCAATTTTCAGCTATAGGTACGTGGGAAAAAAGAAAGATCAGAGAAGTCCATTAGTAACAGAAGAAAGTTGCAGATGATAAAACAGTAGTATTTGATAACAAAAATTTTTTTGCATATACACAATTTTTTATAAATGATGTCAATATTTTTTTAAAAAGTGATTGAATAAATAAATCACTATATATCAAACAATACTATTTCTTATAATTATTTCTAATATTTTTATTTTTTTTCTTATACATATCTAATAAAAAAATTCAATGAAATGGTATCCCGTGACACCACGTAGAACAAAGGTATGTATCCACTCCATGATGATTCGGATACCAAAAAGCTATGAAGTGTATTTATATTCTGTTCTAGAAATTACAGATATTGTTCAAAATGGTCTTCCTCAACAAAAAACTGAATAACTTTATATCACTTAATATTATTAATACGTATCGTATCTTGAAAAATATTTGCCATGGGTACAAATTATATACATTGCCACGAAAGAATAATGTCTATGTTGATATTCTGCATCCGCTTAAGTTAAAGCCTTAATCGTGCATCGGGACTAATGTTCTGAGCGACGAAACTAGAAATTAAATTAAATGTATTCAAAATTTAATATATATGCATAAAAAGTAATATTTGACTTATATACATCGTATAGTTTTTTATCTATACTATATATTTTTTTCTATATATGTAATATAATTTTTTAGACAAGAGTGGGTTGCTCTAGCACTTCCAACCAAGAGGTTGTGAGTTCGAGTCACCCCAAGAGCAAGGTGGGGAGTTCTTGGAGGGAGGGAGCCAAGGGTCTATCGGAAACAACCTCTCTACCCTCCCCAGACTCCACTAGTGGGATTATACTGGGTTGTTGTTGTAATATAATTTTTCGGTAAAAGGTGTTCGTTCACCTATTCACGCTCGAACCTATATATATGGTACGACACTAATTTCCTACCGCTCAAAATAAAAATAAATTGAACAAGGATAGGAATATATCTCTATCATATTCATCCATATTATCCCACAGGAATAAGTTCTTTTTGGCCCTTGGCAATTTACAAAAGGAAAAGGAAAAGATCCAAAAAATATCATCAAATAATAGAGGAAATGAGAGAATCCCACTAAGCTATAACTTGTATAAATACCTATCATCCCCTCTTCATTTTCCTCAAGCCAGCCAAAAAACCAAACAAAATACTCATCTCAAACATCCATTTAAACATTAACCATGGCCTCAATGCAATGCTACAAAGAAGAAGCTAAGGATTTTGATTACTATAGCCATGAGAAATCCTCAGGCACTTACCAAAAACCAACTAACTACTCGAACACTGGTTACCAACAATCTTACTATGAGAAAGAAAGGTGTTACGAAACCAACCCTGGAATGACTGGTTATGGTACTAGCCACGGCCATCAACATGGACTAGGTAACAGATATGGTAGCACTAACCCATGTGGGCCAATGATGGGGCATGGATCAGACCATGGTAAAATGGGCTATGGCTCGGGCCACAACACTCATGGAATGATGGGCTATGGCACGGGCCACAACACTCACATGCAAAAACCTGGGTTCAGTGGAACGGGCTCGGGCGCTTTGGGCCATGTTATGGGCTTTGGAAAAAAACATGAGGGACATGGTGGCTATGGAATGGGGGCAACTTCTGGTTGCACCACCACTTACAAGAAGCAACACCGCAGGAGAAAGGGTGGTTACGGTAGCGGCAGCGACTGTAGCGACAGCAGTGATGATGAACGTCGCTGCTAAATAACTACAGGTAACTGTTCATATTATCTGAAAAATTAAACATACAATCTGTTATAACAAGTTAAATTGAACTGATAGTGTAAAATTTCTTTTACGCAGATTTGGTAAGTAGTAGCCTGGCTTATGAGAAGGAAGAGAGTGAAGTTCCTAGTACTAGCTAGGGATTATATAACAATAAATAAAAAGCACATTTCAGCCATGGATTGACTACTGAAGTTATGAACCTACTATGGAACTTGAGAATTTGTGTGTGTGTGTTGGTGTATTACGTACTTTATAATAATGTAACTGCTTATTCCCTTTGAAAATAAATCTATGAGAAAATAACCTAAAAAAAAGGTCTTCTTGTGTGTGCTATGTTTTCTGCATGATGTAAAACCGCTTTGAGTTTATTACCGTGCCTGTGAGTTTAGTAATCTGCATGCAAGATTAGCAATTTTGCACCATACAAACTAAGAAAACCAAAAAATTTGCTAGGGTTAAAGATAAAGCAAATATGGGCTGAATAATTTATGATACTCCATACTTGTATTTACAGTTACAACTACAATTCAAATCGATCAAACAATTTCCGATTATAAATCACGGACTTAACACCAGTTAAGTTAAAATACATGAATAATGAGTCGTAAGATTCAAATAAAAAATTATATGAAGAACACCCAAAATAGATAACATAAATCAATGCACAAAATTGAAAATCAAATAGAAAGAAATATCCTAGCGAAAGGACTAATCGCAATCTTGAATAGGTATAGGAAGAAATTAATCGCTTTCCATCGAGGTAAAGGCAAGTCACACATTTCAAGATAGGAGTAAAAGGGCGGTGCACTAAGCTCTCACTATATGCGAGGTTCGGACCACAAGGGTCTGTCGTACGCAGCCTTAAGCATTCTAAATTGGAGTCATGGGAAAATATTCTTTAACTTAAGCATTCTAAATTGGAGTTTTTAAACAACTCCGTGCAAATCAATCAACAAATACAAACTCAGTCAATTAAGATTCCTATTTATGGAAAAAGGATAACAAGTTTAACCACCTGGGGATTGCTAGATTGTTTTGATGAAGCCACCAATCGAGTTGATTGCTGCAAATGAAGCACACAAGGAACTGGAATATGTCCATTCTTTTTTCGCCTATTCTGCCTATGTAGTGAAACATTAAGAATCTGAAAAAATGAGATGAAAGTGTTAAGCAACTTAATCATGGGTTTAAACCTGAAACATGTCCATTCAATTTCGTGCCTCCCTACTACTGCTGAAAAGTTAAGATTCTGTTTATCCAATTTAGCACCATATCAATGACTATTCAATGAAGTGGTAAGGTGGCCAAAGTATTATGACTATTTGCAGTACACTAAAGGGCATCCCGTTGCACTAAACTCCCGCTATGCGCAGAACCATAAGGGTCTATTGTACACAGTCTTGCCCTGCATTTCTGCAAGAGGCTGTTTCCACGACTATTTGCAGTACACTAACCAAGGAAATTGGAAAAGGTTGACAAGCAGGTCTAATAAGGTTTGTGAATCCATTAACCATCCCACTGTGCCTCATACTCAGAGGCTGATACATCAGCTCGGGTCGTGCAGGTACTTGTAGAACACCAGGGGCTCGGTAGTAAAGAGGGGGGTATCCACCAGGAAAAAAAGCTGAACATTCAGTGGCTCCTGCAATTCCTTGTGCATGCATATGTTGTAATTGAGCTTGCCTTGCCTCTTTCCTTTGAGCAATAGCTACATACAACGGCTTTTGGCCAAACATAAATCCTGTGAAACGCCTCACAACATCAATATACTTAACAGGACATTAAGAGAGAGAATCTTTTAACTTTCAGTACAGAGAATTTTGAAGCCATACTTCTACAGCACTAGCATCTCATCTTGTACAGACTCAACAAGAGCACGTAGGATGCAGTAAAACAGATGAAGATGCCAACTTAATTATATGATAAATAATCATACCATTACAAAAATATAAGCCGTCAAACTTTGAAGAGCAGATGAATAATATGAGAGAAAACTGAAGGGAAAACGAAAGGGGAAGGCATCTGTTAATTTTCCTTCAAGACATACCTTAGTTTTTCTGTGTATCAAAAGAGACACATAAAATAGCAGTAAGGAAATTTGTAGGAGTTCATGAGAGAACACTGTTGCTGAATAATGCGTGGCATCACATAATAACATGTGGTGTAGCACTATGTACTAGACCAAATAATCTAGGCATTCCTGGCAATGATTTCCACAAAAAACTTTACAGCTACGGTTCAGACAAGCTAGTACAGAAACTGATGGTTTCAATCATAAGAACTAGATGAATTCAAGTCGCTATACTGCTTATTTACTGTCCTTCATATTTCGGCTCAAATGTCACTTCTTTGTTGCGTCCCTATTACAAGTGGCTCTACTATTGTTCTTCTATTTCTCATTCCCCTTTCATCTTGATCCCCAATTCCCTGGCAATACCTTCTTGGCTCTGAGTACGTGTCCTTATTTGGAAGTTCAAAAGTTAACAAATGGGAGTAATAAATCTTTGGTAAAATAAAAAACTTTTTTCTTCTAGTCCATGCCTTGATCAGAAGTATGAAATGTGAGGTCATATTCACCTTCAAAGTTGAAACTCTCCAGAGAGCCAGCTTTACTTGTATAGCATCTCAATTTAGCCAGTTCATCTGACTAGAGCACATCTTAAGAGAAGAAGGTACCAGTACATTTCTAAAAGTAGGCTGTGTTAGAGATATGTTCAAATTATATTTCAGATACAAGGAAGTAGGACTTTTGTTAATCTGTTACACCCCGACTAAAACAACTCAAGGTTGTATTACTTACTGCAATTTTTTTATCTAGAGGTAGTGGATAAAAAAATTAAAAAAAAATAAAAAAATCTAGAGGTAGTGATGGGTTTGACAGACATCTCCTTGTGTATTCTCAAAACCCATAAGGCATGAAGGAGAGGAACATAGAATCGGACCTCTTCATAACCAAATGAACAGATGAAAAAGTTAATCGTTTTACAAAAGAATGTCTCTATGATTCTATGAAGACTAGTTGGGTGTGGTTACATAAAGGAACATCCAGCTATGCAATGGTTTAAAAATGTAATTTGGGGGGGAGGGGATGCAGCCTTTTTCGAAGAGTGATCATAAGGTTATAAAGTAAATAGCAGAACCATTCTGAAGTGAATTTCTTGGTTTGCCTTATAGCTTCAAATGTCCTCTACTTACAAGCAGTGAGTGAACCAAGAAAAAGTATGGCAGAAAGCTGTGAAAGTGCTTCAGCAATTAATTTCAGAAAATTGGATGGACTAAAAGAGAAATTAGATCTACTATATTTTGACTAGAGGGAGTAATAATATTGAAGTTTCTAAACTTGAAACAAGAAAATTAATTACCATAAAATGCACAAAAGTAACAGTTACCACAGAGGATTCAAAGGTACTTTCCTACCTTCTGTGCTTGACTTTGTCATATCAACGAACCTGGAGAAGATAACATAATTCATTCAATAAATTCTCAAAATAATGTGCCCTTACTCAGGTTCACACAGGATGATTGAAGAAGGTTATTGATAAAATAGTTGCAGGAAACCAAAATGCATTCATTAGAGGGAGACAAATAATAGGTGCCGCAATGGAGGATAACGAATACCTTGATTTGAGATTGAAACGGACAAGCTCAAAAGTACTTTGCATATTAGATTTTATAAAAGCATAATTGAGCTTCTTTTTTCAGTATGTCGAAGAAGATGGGTTTTGGGAGAAAACGGGTTAGAGCATGTATATCAACTTTTTAAAATGCTATGTGGTCATTAATCCAGCTCTAGAACACTTCTCTCCCCATAAAGAGGCTTGAGACATGGTGATTTTGTCACCATTTCTGTTCTTATCAGTAATGATAGCATTCAACTTAGTACTGAACAAAGCTTTAAATTACAACTGGTTAGCAAGGTTTCCAGGTGGCTAATGGACCTAGTAATAGGATGGAAGTATCTCATGTTCTTTTTGCTCACTATACCCTTATTCTATGAGGAGCAGAGGAGTCAACTACTGTATTTGAAGGCTATTTACTGGCTTTAGAGAAAATTTCAGGCCTTCATATGATTCAACGCCAAAAGTTGTCTTTTCTGGGTTAATGCATGCCAGAGCATCCATAAACTGGCAGACACCTTCAGAGCTAAAAGCATGTGAAAAAATGTCATTGAGAAATCTGAAAGAATATTAATGTCGTGGATGGAATGCCAACTTACACCCTCAGCATCAAGGAACATGTACTGGGGTGTATGTGAGTGGAAAACCATTTCAAAATCAATAAATTAAGATAAATCTGAGTTTGATCAGGAATTTCCCCCATTTTTGCATCATTGAAACGTCCCGAATACAAATGTGTGCCAATGTCGAAGAGAAGCTAAGCAAATTAAGGAGTGATTCCCTGGGGAAGGCAATCACGATTCACGACAAGAAAATGGTGGCACCTAATGAGATGGCAAACACCAAAGAAGAGCAAAAGAGAAGGCGTTCTTGGAATAAAGGGTTATTTCTTTTCATAAGTAAATTTTCATTAATGAAACACTACAAAGAGGGCAACAAAGCAGATCATGAAATGTTCTAGACTTGTAAACAGACTACTCAAAAACAGCATCTAGCAAGTCCATGAAATCATTAATACTAATTACAGGTTCTCCTTTAAATTTGTATACATCTGTACCTTGCAGCATAAAAAGATTCCTTTTTTCCTTCAAAACATCTCTCGTTCCTTTCAAGCAAAACTGTCCATATGATGCATAAAGGAATTTGCTTCCAAGTCTTCTTCGAACTTCTATCCATGCCTTGAACCTGCCAACTGTCAAGTAGCTCCATAAAATTTTGTGCCATCGCCAACTGTCAATGCACCCCATAACATATTTAGAAGTAGCATCCAGATCATCCAAGTGTGCTTGCATTGCAGAAGCAAGTGACTATCTGTTTCAGTGTCAGATTCACACAAAAAGTATTTATTGCAGAGGTTATACCCTCTCCTCTGCAAGTTACCCTGCACTAGACATGCACCATGCGCAGAAATCCACCAAAACATACAACCCTAGAGGCTATATGGAGCTTTGGTTAGCATCTGCCAAGGCCAGTGAATTTCAGAATCACCAGCTTGTTTTTTCAGTAGTTCATAACACGATTTCACAGAGAAATTTCCATCCTTACCTCCTGACCATAACAAAGAATCCTCCTTGTCTTCTTCATGTGCGATAACCTGGAATAATTGCATGAAATCACTAAATTCATCCATCTTCCGATCATTGAGTCCTCTTCTAAATTGAGAATCTCATTCAGAGCTGGAAATACAATCAGCTATCATAGCTTCCTGATTCGAAGTTAAACTGAATACTCTTGGTAAAAGATCTTTCAGCAAGCCTTCATCACACCATTTCTCAGTCCAAAGTTTAATTTTTCTCCCATTACCCACTTTTAATTTGATATTATCCTTAAACTCTACCCAACTATTTGCTTCAACATGGCCACCCGTAGGGAGTATTCACTACTTTTGGCTCTCAGTAACTCTCCATGCCATATTTTGAAATAACAATACTGTGTTTCTACCGTCATTTAGCCTCCATGGCTTTAGAGACTTAAAGATGATAGAAAAGACTTACTGAAAAGAGTGATCATAAGTAAATATAGTATAGGAAAAGATCAGTTCACTTAACCAGTTAGTCTAACTCATGGAGTCACAGTTTAGAAACATATTGGAGCCTATGGGAGGAATTCTTGGACGAGGTAAAATAGAAATAAGCGATGGGAAAAGAGCAGAAAATGCAGTTGAACAAATCAAAAGAAGATCAATAAATGGATAGATACTGAAAGGTATATTCTCTGACCTATATGTGTTGCTGGTTATTAGAAGGAAAGCACTAATGCAGAATGCGAGTGGAGGGAATCGGATTTTCCAGTTTAAAGGAGAATCAACCGGGAGATTAGTAGAGTGATGCACCTCTAAAACTCCTTAAGCATGTTAATCAGTATACATATCAAAGGGGTAACCTGCAACGGATGGAAACGGGGATGGTTAGTTTTCAGTAAGATCATGCTATAGCTTACTGCAAAGAGACAGGTTGGGGGAACAGCTGCAAAATGGGCTAGGAGAACGATATGGAAAGCAAAGGCACCATCAAAAGTAGATTGGTTTTGGATGGACTGCAGTACACAATGCATGCTTGGAACAGGATAATTTGCAGAAAAGAAGTTACAACTTGTGCAGCAGGCGTGATTTTTGTGAAGGAAAAAGCAGAATCAGTCAATCACGTTCTTTTGCATTTTCGATACATATGGAAGGGTTGGTGCATGTTGCTAATCCAATATTGATGCAGCGGTGATGCTAGGGGAACAGAATCAAGCATTAGACAGCTGGAAGGGAGCCAGAAATGAGGAAGGAACAGAGGCATATATGGAAATCAATTTTTTTAAGTGTATGCTGGACAGTTTAGCTTGAAAGAACTCATGCTTCGAAGAAGACTTATCTTTTGTAAACTATGATGTATAAAAAGTTTGAATCTTATAGCGAAGTGTGTTTTGCAAATGATACAGAATTTGTACTTGAGTTCATTGATCCCATACATAATTGAGGGATCAAATCCAGATACTTCCATACCTAGTCAGTTCTTCCTTGGTGCCTTTAATAAGTTTACTTATCAAAAAGTTCCAGTTGGTTGTCCCTTAATCTTAAATAAAGAATCAAAGCAACCAAGTAAATCAAAATAAATATGATAAAGCATCAGAAAATGTAAATGAATGAAGCAAATAGCATACAACTCTTATTGAACAGCTTCACATTGTAACAGATGCAAGTCTTTTTATCTCGGACACCATATACATTGGTAGATAATGTCATTCTTGAGTAGGAGATAAGTGTGTGCACAAGCAGCCCTAACTACTATGGTTTACAATTGAAGCCTGGATCGGACCTGCTTCATCCTCCAACACTTCGCACCTAGGCCGTGTATTTCTGTATGCATAAATAAAACACGAAGACATCTAAAAGACATGTTGGCAGGAGCTAGAATGTAGGATGAGAATCAAATTAAAGAGTTAATATTAGCAAACTGAATCCTCAATCATCTAGAAATAGCATTTATTAAATAATAAATACATAGTAACATTTATGCATTGCAATGAAGAAAAATATTATATCTAACTTAACTTCAAACATAATTTTGAAAAACAAATAAATAACCAAAGTTACAAGAGACAATAACTCCCAATGATCTGAGGCGCTGAGTCAAGACATGGAGGCGAGTGCATTATGAGGTTGATGGTTTGACCCAAGTTGGTGGGGAAAGAGTACTTTGTAAGCTCCCATATCTCTTCCACTACCACCTCCCTCATTCTTAATCTCGTACCAATCATCGGTAAAATATATGTGATTAGGCTTGACTCCTTTAAACTTAGAGGACTCAATCGAACTTGCTCCACTAAGGCCCAAAAAAATTGCGGAATCTCCCAAGTTGTTAATTTCCATCAATTCACCTTTGATTATATCTAATTCATACACTTTAATTTTAAAGGTCTGACCTCCATTTCCATGGGAATATCGGGTAACGAATAACAGTGAATTGGATACCTCAACTAGGTAGAACTGAACTGAATATTGACGAAACATATCATCCTTTAGGGAAAAAAGCAATTGTGGCTTAACAATTGGTTGAGGAGTGGCAGTTCCTGCAATGTCAAAAACCCAAACTTGGCCACGCCATGTCACACAATAAAATTTCCCATTATAGTAATTCATTGATGTTACTGCACCCGCTTTTGCAATATCAATTTTAGTCCAGTTAAGATCTCCAGGTCGCCAAAAAGCCAAAAGATCATAGTTTGCATAATAAGAAACCACCAGTACATAATCTGATGAAACTGAAGGATTGGCAGATAAGACAGCTTTGTCCATATAGTGCCAGAACTCTCCTTTCAATAGTTCTTCGTAACCATGAAAACCCCAAAATTCTTTTTCTGAAGGAAGTTGAATTTGGGTACGGGAGAAAGGATTCAACAAATTCATCTCTCCGTTATATGCACAGTGCAAAGCCATCCCTCCGTTGGAAAACACTCTCTCCCTCTAACTTCGGGGAGATATATGCGTGAAATTTTCTGCTTGGAAAGTGAGTAAAATTCTCGATAATCTTCATCTTTATCAGCCAACATTAGCAATGGAACTTGGGGCGAAAACACATCGAAATTTTTCTTTGTAGCAGCAGTTCGCCAAGAGGTATAAACGACACCAAAAGAAACGAAATCTTCAATCACTTTAACACGGTTTGCAATCTGAGTAAGGAGATCGTAAGGCAACTCTGCCCACTTCGACATAGCTCTGAAAGAAAAAACGATGTAACGTTGCTAGGAATCCGATGCTGACGAGAACTTTGGTGAAATCTAGTTCGAGTTCGATTTTACGATTCTCAAATATTTTTGTAAAATTTAATTTGGGTGAATTTTGATTTAAAATTAAAAATTTGTTTGGACTGTCAATTGTTTTTTTCGACTTTTACCAACTTATTTTTAGTTTTATGATCTTAACTCTTTTTTTTACATATGGGAGATTTAGTTTTACACATAAGAGATTTACTTTTACACATAAGAGATCTTTCATTTACACATAAGAGATTTAAAAAGATATTTTCTTAAATTAAACATTGTAAAAGGCCAAGAAGACCTAAAACCTCTAAATTTTGAGTCAAGTTTTGACATGTTATAAAGTCTTTTTTTTCAGAAATAATCTTAAATAGTCATGAGTTGACCCAAAAAACTGAACAATTTTATATCACTTAATATTATTAGTGCGTAGAGTATCTTGAAAAATATTTGCCAGGGGTACAAATTATTGAGTATATATTGCCACGAAAGAATAATGTCTATGTTGATATTCTGCATCCGTTTAAGTTAAACCCTTAATCGTGCATCTGGACCAATTTCATGAGTGGCGAATCTAGAAATTAAATTAAATATATTTAAATATATATATATATATATATATATANAATTTTTTTTATATACGATATAATTTTTTATATACTTAATACGATATTGCGGTAAAAGATGTTTGCCTAACCACACTTGAGCGGTAATGATTTCCTACCGTTCAAAATAAAAATAAATTAAACAAGGTTAGGAATATATCTCTATCATATTCATCCATGTATCCCACAAGAATAAGTTCTTTTGGCCCTTGGCAATTTACAAAAGGAAAAGGAAAAGATCCAAAAATCATCAAATAATGGAGGAAATGAGAGAATCCCACTAAGCTATAACTTGTATAAATACCTATCATCCCCTCTTCATTTTCCTCAAGCCAGCCTAAAAACCAAACAAAACACTCATCTCAAACATACATTTAAAAAATCCATTAACCATGGCCTCAATGCAATGCTACAAAGCAGAAGGTAAGGAGTTTGATTGCTATAGCCATGAGAAATCCTCATGCACTTACCAAAAACCAACTAACTACTCGAACTCTGGTCACCAACAATCTTACTACGAGAAAGAAAGGTGTTACGAAACCAACCCTGGAATGACTGGTTATGGTACTAGCCACGGCCATCAACATGAACTAGGTAACGGATATGGTAGCACTAACCCATGTGGGCCAATGATGGGCCATGGATCAGACCATGGTAAAATGGGCTACGGCTCGGGCCACAACACTCATGGAATGATGGGCTATGGCACGGGCCACAACACTCACATGCAGAAACCTGGGTTCAGCGGAATGGGCTCGGGCGCTTTGGGCCATGTTATGGGCTTTGGAAAGAAACATGAGGGACATGGACATGGACATGGTGGCTATGGAATGGGGGCAGCTTCTGGTTGCACCACCACTTACAAGAAACAACACCATAGGAGAAAGGGCAAGGGTGGTTACGGTAGCGGCAGTGGCAGCGACTGTAGCGACAGCAGCGACGATGAACGTCGCTGCTAAATAACTATAGGTAATTGTTCATATTAAGTGAAACTAGTTATCTGAAAAATTACTTTCTTTTTCTTTCCTTGAGTCGGGGTCTATCGAAAACAATCTCTCTACCCTCAAGGTAGGGGTAAAGTCTGCATACACACTACCCTCCTCAGGCTCCACTCGTGGGATTATACTGGGTTTTTCGTTGTTGTTGTTATTGTTATCTGAAAAATTAAATATATAATCTCTTATAACAAGCTAAATTGAACTGATAGCGTAAAATTTCTTTTACGCAGGTTTGGTAAGTAGCGGCCTGGCTTATGAGAAGGAAGAGAGTGAAGTTCCTAGTACTAACTAGGGAGTATATGACATTAATAAATAAGAAGCAGGTTTTAGCCATGGCTAGCTATTGAGTATTGACTACTGAAGTTATGAACCTATGGAACTTGAGAATTTGTGTTTGTGTGGTGGTGTATTACGTGCTAATAATGTAACTGCTTATTCCCTTTGGAAATAAATCTATGAGAAAATAACCCAAAAAAGGTCTTCTGGTGTGTTATGTTTTCTGCATGATATAAAACCGCTTTGAATTTATTACTGTGCATGTGAATTTATCTTTGAAAATAGCCACGAATGACTCATTAATTCAAGGGCGAAGTGCACTAATAGACACCTTTAAACTTATTATTTAAATAATATATTTAAAGGTTAGCCAATTAGTTCAAACTTCACGGGTAAGTATCCTGAATTTTTGTATCCTAAATTTTTGAGCTGTTAATTTATAATTAAAGACATAAAATTCTAATTTTTGGACATAATATTTGAACTTTAGGACACGGTGTCCTAAAGTTTAAACTTTGACTATGGATATATTTTAAACATCATGCATAAAAGTGACTATCCGGTGTCATTTCGAGGAACTTTTTTTCTGCTCAATGAAAGGCGACTTTAAATTAAAACAGGATATTAAAGTGGTTTAGAAGCGCAGACAAATTTAATAGTAATACTCCTAAGCATGTATTAGACCATGTAATAGGACCTAATAAAACTACCTTGATGGTCAAGGAAAATAAAATAGTATTGCCGCTAAATGGCCTAAGCATTGTTGTTAAAAGGTTATTCGTTGTATTAATAATCCCAGTAATCATGTCACATATTTGTACTAATCCCATCAGCTATTACTGTTTAACTCCTTTATTTTTGTGTTCTCTTCCACCTCATGGGTTAATACAAATGTAAGAGGTTTTCTTTTTTACGGTAATTTCTGAGATGCTTTATACATTTATATACCCCAAATTTTTGTAGAGTATTTTGAGGCTAGGATTTTGCTCAAAAGCTCTTCTTATTTTTAATGACTCACCATGCTAATCTCATAATTTGTTTCCTTTTACCTTTATTTTATACACTCCTAATACCCCAAATGTTATGGTTTGACAATAGTAAGTTTAACGAGTCTAGTTAATTTGTTTGTTTTCCCATTTAAGTCCCTCATAAAATTTGGGATTGTTACACAAATAGCCAGCAAGATTCAATATTTATTTTTTCTAATCGATATACATAGATTATTCATTGATTACCTTTTGCCGAGCTCATTTCTAATAGTTAAGGAAAGCATGTCAATTTGCATGATATGAGTTGAGAATGAGATCAGTGTGGAATTTACTAGAGTACTTCTTCCTGCTACATGTATTGATCGCAGAGGAGGATATTCTAGGATTTGAACTCTATGGGCTCAACTTTCAAAATTCTTAGCATTGAACCTGTTATATTTTAAAAGTTATGAATTCATATCTACTAGTTTTTGTAGTTTTATTGGTTTTTTACCTATAAATTTATGTTACGCGTCGAAAGTACTGGGTCAGTTAGTTGAACCCGACACTCGTACGCAACATTCGCGCCTGATTGCTCTTTCCTTCCCAAATGTTATGTATATAATCCGGAATTATTGAATCAAGTATATTTCTCCCTCAAAAGAGTCCCTAAGATTGCATATGAGAAACTATTTTAGACATGCTAATATTGACCTTTGTGATCCAACACTTTGTTACAATAGTTTAGGGTTTCTGCAGTAAAATCACAATTATTTTTTTTTTGTTTTCCTTTTGAATTTCGCGCAAAAATTGCGTGAACAAACGTGGATGAAACTTCATTAAATAGGTTAAATAAATATCGCATCTTAGAAAGAAATATGCAGTTGAAACTCCAGCATTTTGGCTAAAGCTTTTAATTCAGATTTAAAAAAATGACTTTCAGCCCAAAAAAAATTCGAAATATTAATTGCATCTAACTAAGAAATATACAGTTCAAATAAAATATACTTTGCACCCATTGCTTGTAAGTTGTACGCATATCCCTTGACGCACTCCAATTCCACGAGCAACCTTTTATACATTAAAACATTTCTTTAGGTGCCTATAACACACATCACCTTTGTGTTTGATCATTTTTTTTCCTTCCTAAAATAGGTGTATGTCATGCACCAATAAGATCCTAGCACTTGTCATTAACAATAATACAAAAGAAACTTACTTAAAAACTCACATATATTTCAACCGTCACCGCCTTTATCTCATCACGCCCATTTTTGGCAATAATTGCTACAAAATTCAGCCAAAAAATATTTTCGGCGACCACCACTATCTCATTCATCGTTTAATCTCTTTCGCCATCTAGCACCATTAAAGAGAACCACCATTCTTCCACCATATAATAGCTAAAATATTTTTACCGTGTAAACATGAAAATAAGTTAAGTTTCAATTAAATTTATGTCTACGTTAGAGTAGTTTCCCCTAAATTTTTGAAAAAAAATTGTTTACCCGTAAAACGGTACAATTGAATTTATACGTGGTTTTTAGACAACTAAATTAATTTGATCCTGAAATAATGAAATAATTAAGGAAATGCACGGTACTTAGCCTTGAAATAAAGATAAAATAACGAAGAATAATGATTCAGGAGCAAAGCTTCTAGGTACAACAGTGATGAAAACAAAAAACAAGAAAGTAAAATTGTATAAAGCTTTTTATTGATTATAGCGTAGGTTTGCCAAGAAAGTCGTGTCCTTTACAATGACAACTGAGATCACTATTTATAGTTGCACCTAGGGAACAAGGTCTTGGGATCATGCCCTTCTTTAATGTAAATTACGAGGGTCATTAAAGAGGGTGCAACGGTGAGCATAAATTCTCTGTAATGGGTAGCGCACTAAATGCTGTGGAATATTCTCCATTAAATGCTATCGGGTGAAGAGTATTTATTACATCTTTATGAGCGTTATTTTTTCCGATGATAGACGGAATAATTGCCTTCGGTTTTAGCTATCCCCGTTTTAGGTTCCATGTGCGGTCCGCAGATCTCTTCAGTTGGCACTTGGCAGGAAGGTGAGTTATGCGGCCGCACATTTCTGGATTACAACCTCTTCAGTTGGCACTTGGCAGGAAGGTGAGTTATGCGGCCGTACATTTCTGGACTACAACCGCGAGGCAATCTTGTGCGATCCGCACTTCACAAAAGCTCTTGAACCTAGTCTTTTTGCATACTCTCTGATCTTTGACTCTTAAGCCCGGTTCTGCGGCCTGGTCCGCACATTGCTAGAAGTTTTGTTAGATTTTCTTTTCTTGGTTTGAAGCCGCAGAATTCACTACAAAAAAATATTGTAATAATAGCGGTTATTTTAGCGGGTTACGGCGGTTTTTAATCGCCGCTATAAGCATTAATGACGGTTTCACAAAACGCAGGAATTACGTCCGCCAAAAAGTTATTACGGTTGTTTCCGGTTAAACGCCATAATTGAATAAAATGGTTGTTTACAACCGCCACAATTGTCTCTTTAAAAAGGCAGTTTGAACCCGCCATAATTGTCTTCCATTTGTAATTAATTTCTACAATTTTTGCTCATTACATATATTTACTCTGTCCATTGCATGAAAGCTTGTCTATTATTTGTAACAGTTTTAACACAAATATAAGAGAACGATTACTTAAATAAATCACTTGCTGTACATAAAAACCATACGCACTTCAGAATTACACCATCAAATGCATTAAAATACATGGAGTAATATTTTACATCAATTCAACATAAGGGAAAAAACAGTAATAAATCCTAGAGATACATTCAATGAATACTCATGATCCGCATAGTGATTTCCATCGAGTGATCTTTTCGGGCTTCTAGGAGTCGCGGCGCAACTGCCTACAGATGCCCAAGGATTAGGAAGTGGATTAGTATTAGAAGCAGGCGAATTATTAGTTGTCTCAGAACCGGAAGTTGGAGGATTATTTGACTGGTGTCTGCCTTGCCCACCACCTTGTGCTCCCAAAAGAGCTGCAAACTGGTTAGACCCCACATCGTTTCTCGTATATCCAGACAATGTTGTTGCATTTAGGAGTGGCTCTTGGACATTTTCATACATACGCCTCAGCATGTTAAATCCCTCGGGAGAAGATTCAATAACACATGAAAATCACAGACTTCAATAAACAATCAAATCAAAATAGGAGAAAGGTGATGTAGTAGAAACATATGCACACTGTGCAGCCTTGCTCCATTCGCAATGCCCGAGCTGCATAAGCAGGCAGCATTATCTAAGCTTCAATTAACACTCAATTTCCATTCGTACAACATGTTCTCGTCCACAGTTCCACACAAGATTTATGGCGTCCCTAGTTTACAGCTAAAAAATTAATAATCGGGAGAATAATCACTCAAGTACACCCCATATCAATTAAAAGATTATCCGCAAATCGGTAACTGAAAAGAGAAAGCCATTATGATCCGCTTCGCAATCAATCCCCAAACTGATATCACTTAACAATTAATCAATATTGAGACTAATTATCAACATGTAACACCATTTTCAAATATTAGATAACACCATTTTCAACAATTGATTTTTTCAGTGACGCATATTATCGAACAGTCTGTGAGCATCACGTCATCCCTACTCCCCTAATTAGAGAAAGAAGAGAGCTAGCCATGGCTTGAGCTAGTTGAGAGAGAAGAAATTACCTAAGGAAAATTGTTACCATCGATAGTTTGGAAGCATTCAATGAATTTTCTTGCTGATTTGTTGAAGTTCTTCATTCCTGCACCATGATTCGTATAGTTTATGCTAGTGATGAATATAAACTAGCAATAAGACAAACATATATTCCTTTGCCGGTCTCTCCAAAGTCACCAAAGATCAACGGAAATAACAACTGGATCAGTCACACTCTAAGGACCAGTAGTTAGCCAACATACCATACTCCTTGCACATCCAGAATAGTTGTGCTTGTATCAATGTACTTTTTGGCTGATATGGAGTAAAGCTTTTCTTTTACATGGACTTTCAGCATCAACATTAGAATATTGTATGCCCCTGTATAACCTAATCCGTTAAGGTAAAAAAATAAATCTCACAAAAACATCCATGCCATTTTGATCTCACATAATTTTGTTGGTATAAAAAGGGGAAATCCAAGACAAAATGCAAAAGCAACAAAATGGAAGATGACAGACTAACAGAATGTATCCTAAGAAAATTCGGAACCAAAATACCAACTGATAGACACTAGATTATTGCTTTCCAATATAAATTTCACTAGTTCTTTTTAAAATCCTACCTCCATTGTGCAGTGACGATGTAAGAAATTTACTCAATTAGGTCATTTAAAAGGTAAATCGTAGACAATTCTATTTATTAGTATTGATATTTAACTTGAATAAATGGTAAGCGACATGTTACAATATGTTAAGTTACATTGATGGTGTAAAAATCCATTGTACTGTCATTATATATGATTTATATCTTTGTTAAATTACTAATTTCACTTAAAATGATCAATAGTTATTTATAGGTGACCTGATAGTATAAATTAAATAGTTACCTAAAATGAATGATTTCTACTTACCTCTTGACCCAAGGCAGTACCAAATTCATATCCACAGCTTCAATTTGATGTGCTTCCTCAATGGAACTCGAGAGAGAATCAGAATTAACTTGCTCAATATTATTTGATCCTACTGATAGAGTCTGAGCAACTGATGCTAATAACTTCTGTGATTTTCCATAAGTTTTTTTGTAGATACTCATCCCTCAATTCTCCTAATTATCATGAAACAAGTTTAATTATTCGAATAAATTCTCTAATAATCATTTTTCACAATCCAAATTTAATCATGCTCTGCCATTAATTAGACTGTTCCTTAGGAAATAATATAAAATATTTTTTCAAAAAATAAAGGAAGCTAAGAACAAATCCGACAGCTATATTGACAGATCAAAGCAAACTAACAATGAAATCCTAGATCCAAATCAATAAATAGCGAAGAGATAAAATAGAAAGGACCTAGCTGAACTTCGTTTGAAGTTGGGAGTTGAGATAACTGAAGCCGCTGCGGAGATAAGCAAACTCCATACGAGCTTCATCGTGTTCGAATCGATAGCCTCCTTCTCGCGTTCGAATCGACTGCCTCGGCGAGAATAGAAGAGGAGAGAAGAGAGAATCGCCGGCTACAGGGATCTGATGAAACACCGGCAAGGGAGAGGGAAAACTGCAAAGAATAGGATTTATTTGGGGGAAGTTCTAATTGGTGAGACTTCGAGTGACGCTTATTTTAAGTTTGTCCGCCGTAATATACGATAAACCGCCATTTTACGGTTGCATAATATGGCGACTTAAAATTTGCGCTAGTAGAGTGCTTATTACGGCGGTTTCATTGACCCGCCGTATTGAAACCGCCAATATTGCCGATTTTTTGTAGTGTTTCCTTCTAAGGACAGCACATTTGTGTTTTTGCGCCCTTTATTGCCTTGTACTTCGGAACACTCCTTTTTTAGTCGGATTTCATCTCGGGAGACCAAACTTCCAGCTCCTGCAATTTGCACAATTTTATTAGTTTCAGGAACACAATTCAAAACTTTCGGACTAAAACAAAAGCTAAAAGGTGTTAATAAACAATCAAAATCTCCACTTATAAGTTTTCAAAAGAGAGGGACCTCTTATGTTTACGGTGCTCTTGAAGAGGACGTCTCATGTCCATTACAACATAAGCATTTGAAGTACTTATTTAACTTTCAAATAATAAAATCAATTCATCGATCAGACAAGAAACAATATAAAAAATAAAAGGACTTTACTTTATTCCATTCGTTTTCAAAAAGTACATAAGCATTTGTTATGTTAAAGAGAAATTGCCATTTCTTGTGGCTAATTTGTACAACTTATTTCTACGGGGCTGGCCGCGCAATCCCCGGACCCGATGAGATAATGATGTTCCCGGTTTTCGTGCTCCGATCGATGTGGCAGTCATTGTTGTTGCATTCTCATATCATTCCCCAGTATTCAAATGCGAAAAATGCAAATTGGAACACTGGAAATCTTGCACCTTCGAGGATCCCACTAATAAATTGCTAGGCAAACATCACTCGGTAACAAACTTTGCTTTCCCTTAGGAATTTATGTTATCGAGCAAAGGACTATCTAACAATCCTCTAACGGTTTGCACTTGTGAACGGTCGGGTAATCTTTGCTTTATAGCAAGCAAATTTTTCCGGTGGGAATTTTCTATAGAGCCAAAGATTATCTAACCACCCCTACGTATCTCTTCGTGTGTGTGCCTAGCTATTAAAGGCCATATAGTTGTCGTTAAAAATTTCTTCGTAGTATGCTTTCCATGGCTGCCTCGTTAAAAACCTTGCAAGAAAAATTCAATTGGGATAAAAACTAGATGAAGGGAAAAAGAGCTCAACGCATATTTCCAGTAGAAACGATGTTTATTAGCAATAGTACCTCTTGAGGTGTGCCATATTCCAATTGCTCGGCAACTTTTCTCCATTTTGATTCTCTAACTCGTATGAACCTTTTTCGGTGACAGCCGAGATCCAGTAGGGTCCTTCCTAGGTTGGGTCTAACTTCCCTGCGTTGAGCTCTCGGGTGTTTTGGGTTACTTTCCTTAATACCAAATCTCTCACTTTAAAGTAACGAAGATTGGCTCTTCGATAGTAGTATCTTTCTATTCTCTGCTTTTGTGTTGCCATCCTTACACGTGCCAAGTCCCTGCGCTCATTGAGTAACTCCAAGTTGACCAGCATCGCTTCGTTGTTTGATTCTTCGCTTGCCTCAAAACACCTTAAGGTAGGCTCCCCTACTCCTACCGGAATCAAGGCTTCAGCTCCGTACATAAGGGAAAAGGGAGTTTCCCCCGTGCTCGACTTGGATGTCGTTCAATATGCCCATAAGACTCCGGGTAGTTCCTCGGGCCATTTACCTTTAGGTGCTTCCAACCTTTTCTTGAGGTTTTGTATGATCACTTTGTCTATTAACTCTACTTGACCATTTGTGCTCGGATGATAGGGTAAAGATGTGATCCTCTTTATTTTCATATCTTCGAGGAACTTTGTTATCTTTGCGCCGATAAATTACGGCCCATTATCGCATGCTATCTCTTTTGGTATTCCAAACCTGCAGATTATGTTTTCCCCCAACAAATCCACCACTTTAGATTTGCCGATCTTCTGGTAAGGACCTGCTTCCACCCACTTAGAAAAATAAAATCAGTTAAAATCAATAGAAATCTTACCTTACCGGGAGTCGGCAGCAGCGGTCCGACTATGTCCATCCTCCACTTCATGAATGGCCACGAAGATAGGACTGAATGTAGTGGTTCCGCCAGTCGATGTACTAGCGTTGCATAGCGTTGGCACTTATCATATTTTTGTACGAAAGCTTTGGCGTCTTGTTCCATGCGGGGCCAATAATATCTTTCCCTTACCAGTTTTAACACTAAAGAATCTGCGCCGGAATGGTTTTTGCATATCCCTTCGTGGACCTCTCGCATAACATAATTTGCTTCGGATGCTCCCAAATACTGGGCCAGCAGGCCTTGGAAAGATTTTCTATACAATTGTCATCCTTTAAAGCTATACCGTGCAGCTTTGACACGCAGCGCCCGATATGCCTTGGAATCTTCGGGCAATTTCCCGTGCTCGAGATAATTGATGATCTCATTCCTCCAGTCCCAGACCAAATTAGTAGAATTTACCTCGTAATAGCTATCTGCATCCAGGACCAAGTGCATCAATTGTACTACCATCCCGGATTCTGATCCCTTCATTTCCGTTGACGAGCCGAGGTTGGCCAGCACATCCGCTTCTGCATTTTCTTCCCTCGAGATGTAAGTATTGTTGCATGCACTCTTCTTTGGTTTCAAATATCTCGTAGACCTGATTTACCACCAGTTGCGAGTTGCACTTGATTTCTATGACCTCAGAATCTAGTCCCTGGACCAGTTCGAGTCCTGCAATCAAAGCCTCGTACTCTGCTTCTCTGATGGCTTGTCTTAGGGTTTCTCCCAAGGGCGTGGTTAATATTATGCCCAGCCCGAACCCATTTACGTTAGAGGCTCCATCCTTGAATAAGGTCCAAACTCCCAATGTCGATTCTGACACCATGACTGCCTCTTTGGTTGCTACAGGCATCAATCTCGGACTGAAATCGGCCACAAAGTCAGCCAAGACTTATGACTTAATCGCAGTCCTCGATTTATATTCTATGTCAAATTCACTCATTTCGATGGCCCATTTGACTAGCCTACCCGAGAGTTCGGGTTTGTGAAGGATATTTTGCAGGGAAAATGTGGTCACCATAACTATCGGGTAACATTGAAAGTAGGGCCTCAGCTTTCGAGCGACGACTACGAGAGCTAAGACTAGCTTCTCCAAGTGCGGGTAGCGAGTTTCTGCTGCCGTTAAAATTTTACTAACGTAATAAATGGGAGATTGCGTACCTTCATCCCCTCGGACCAAAACTAAACTTACTGCTACTTTCGAGACTGCGAGGTAGACCAACAATATTTCACCTTCCTTTGGTTTCGAAAGTAATGGAGGGTTGAAAATTACCTTTTTAAATCTCTCAAAGACTGATGGCACTCCGGGGTCCATTCGAAGTCATTTTTCTTTTTGAGCAGTACGAAGAAATGGTAGCATTTCTTCGATGACCGAGAAATGAATCTGCTCAAAGCGGCTAGTCTCCTCGTGAGTCTTTGAACTTCTTTCACGCTTGACAGCTAATCCGGAATGTCTTTGATGGCCTTGATCTTATAGGGGCTTACCTCGATCCCTCTTTGCGATACGAGAAATCCCAAGAACTTACAGGAGCTGACCCCGAATGTGCATTTCTCAGGGTTAAGCTTCATGTTATGCTTCCTTAGGATGTCAAAAGTTTCTTGCAGATGCTTAAGGTGACCACCTGCATTCAAAGACTTAGCGAGCATATCGTCTATATAAACTTCCATAGTTTTCCCTATTTGTTTTTCAAACATCTTGTTTACGAGGTGTTCCTCAACCTGAATGGCACCCCATTATATCAATATGTGCCGAAATGTTTTATAAACGAAGTCTTTTCATAAACCTCCAGGTTCATCTTAATCTGGTTGTACCCAGAATAAGCATCGAGGAAACTCATTAACTCGTGCCTGGTCGTAGTATCAATCATTTGATCGATGTTTGGAAGTGGGAACGAGTCTTTCGGGCACGCCTTATTCAAATCTTTATAATCTACACGCATACAAAATTTATTGTTCTTCTTAGGAACTACTACTACATTAGCTAGCTAGTCTGGATATTTTACCTCTCGGGTCGAACCGATATCGAGTAAGCGGGTTACCGCTTCTTTGACGAATTTGTTCCTGGCATCCGCAATAGGGTGTTTCTTTTGTCTTACCTGATGGATGTTGGGATCCAAGCTTAGCTTGTGTACGGCCACCTCCGTTGGGATACCTGTCATGTCCGCATGCGACCAAGCAAAACAATCAGCATTAAATTTAAGAAATTCAATAAAGCCGGACCCGAGCTCGGGGTGCAGTCTTGTCCCCAAGTGGAATTTCCTTTCTAAGAACTCTTCAAGCAATGCAACTTGCTCGAGCTCTTCCGTTGTGGATTTTGTCGCGTCCATCTCTTCTGGTACCTGGAAATATCTTATTGGCTCCCCAAGTACACGCAAGTATACGTGGTTGTCAAGCAATAAAGTGACTCAAAAGTTGCATGTCGAACCCACTAAGACTTAGATTAACCGTTAACTAAGCAAGCGAAAATCAGTTAATTGTCCAAGATAATCAAGAGTTTGATTTTTCTATTACAACTACTATTGCAAAATTTAAACACGTAACCCATGGAGATATAGATTCCATAGTTGTGGTCGGTTTATCAATCCTATTGAGTTCGTAATTACACCTGTTAATCCAAATTATCTAAGATTGCTAGTTGACCGGATCGTTTATATAAATAGCATGTTCCCACAATACTATCCCTCTATCCATAATATATCAACCCTATATTCCTATGGTCTTGAATCTATCATGAACGAATATAATACGATATTCATCTATGCAAGATTGTTAGATATATTTCTATCCTAACTGCAAAATCTTTCCCCGAGCCACGGGTGCAGAAATAAGCTCTCTCTAATTCTACTCTAATCTAAACACGGCTTTCCCAATCATAGCATAGATAGTAAATATAACTCAATTGTTGGCCAAACAATTAAGCAATTATGCACAGAATTATAGAAGCAACCAAAGATAATAACTCGAATTAACAGTAATATAATTAATAAACTTCAATATTCGTGACAACCACAACCCTAGAACGTGAAGTTTAGCTCCACATAGACATGGTAGCAAAACAACAAATCATCAAGAAAAAGTAAAGATTACTAAGCTTAATAGAAAAAGATGG